TGCACACATATATATATATAGAAATATATTTTCCTACATCCAAATACATGCACAATTTCGCATACCAGCATGTATCAAACATATCAGTTTATCATGCTATCACACAATTATTTAATAAAATAATCACGTATTAAATACCTTGGGTAATAACCAGGATCCGGTTATTACACAATCTATACTATATTATAAAGCATTTGACAAAAACTCTTAAAAATCATTATTTATGCATAAAGTACTGTTTACTAACGATTACAAGTAAATTGTGCGTACGTACAACTTAAAGCTCCATTTTTGAATTCGTATAATTAACTACATATAAACATAATCAAATACAGGATAGGCATATCATTTTAAATATAAAAATTTTAAAATATAATTAGAATAATCATTATCTTTATAAAATTTATATTGTTAAGACAAAAATATTAAATCTAAATCTAAATTAAAAAGTTGAATTAAAGAAACTGTAAAAAGAATTAGAACTTTTAAATAGTTAATTTGATATTAGAGGTTAAAGATTGCAAGATGGTAAATAATCCACTTGAAGCATACATAATCACATAGGTATGCACTGCTTCTTAAATACTTCATCCATCTCATGAAAAATTGCAACTTTTTACAGCACACGCACTTTTGTGAACGTGCTCCCGTAAAAACATAATAAATAAATCTTGTGGATCACAATCAATAGCACCAATAAAGGAATAATGACAATGCGAAAAAGAGGTAATTCTACTTCAAAATTTTGGCAAAATGTGAATTCTTGCGACTTCCATTGGACCATTTTTGCAATTTTCATGTGACGGGGTGTAACTTCTAGCAGTAATTTTTTTTTCCTCCCGTGCTTCATAAAGATCTTCCTGTTGTTTGATCTGATTTTTTTATACTTTTTTCGTAGTTGCAGATAATTGATGAATTGAGTTGCCAAAGCATCCAGGGAGAAGATACTGGTGTTATAAATCCTTACAACTCTCAGGCCAACCTCATTAAACAACATGTTACACAATCAGTGGAGATACATACCATCGACAAGTACCATGTTATATTTTATAGTATGTTATAATCTAACGGCAACCTACAACTTTCATTGCATTTAATTTAAGAAGTAATACTATGTTTATTACTTTTGTGGCTTTTTGGAAGGAGTAGTGATTTTTTGTAGCATCAACTCAGTTGTCCATGTACAAAAGGGTTCTAGCTGGGGAGTACATACTCCATTAAAGAGAACGCTTTTGATAGAGACGTTTTACTGTTGGTGCAATTCTTAATATCTATTTGACGATACCAACAAGTCCGTCTTATGGCATGTGAATCTGGTACTTTGGGGTATGGTATACATATCCTTTTGGGTGATAATTTTTAGTAAATATATCCCATTTTTTTATGGTTAGGACTTCGATCAACTACAAGGAATTTAGGGTTCGTACTTCATCTGCTTTTAGGCAGTGTTATTCCTTTAGTTTCAACTTTGGTTTTAGATTGTTCTTGAGAATCATGATGTAGAGAGAAGATTATTTGATTTCCATGACTTTAGATTTTGCTTTTCTTATTAAGAGTGACCCTTTATTGTTTTGTCAACTAAATGTATCTTAGGTTAATTGTTAGCATTGTCATAATATGATAATATTTTCTTCACAGTGGTGTTAGAAAACATCTTAAAGATCCACAAATTGGATTCCGCACCACAAATTAAAGGACTATCATACTTTTTTACATCCTGCCGCATTGCCCGTTTTTTGCAGAAAATATTTACGGATGAGTGCATCACGAAAACTAAACAACAGTTTGGATATACGGATGAGTATTATTTACAAATGATTGTATTTATTTGTTCAGTCAATAATTTCAAGTTTTGTAATGAGTTCTGAGCATATGGGTTTAGAAACCCAATACGTATGCAAATATTTTTCCATTCGATCTTGCTAATACAACATATGAACCTTCAACATTATAGATTAGTTGACTTGCAAAATAACCACACAAACTCATGATTCAAGGCTAAACTAATGTTTCAGAATTGTGATTCACCCACGCGATACTAGTACTATATTATAAAGCATTTGAATTAAACTCTTAAAAATCATTTTTAATAAATATTGTTTAATGATGCATATTATTTAAAATTCAAGATTATAGATAAATGATACACAAGTACGACTTTTCAAAGCTGTATGCTTGAACTCATATAACTAACTAATAAACACAATCAAATACAAGATAAAAATCTCATTTTAAATATAAATAATCTAAAATAATTAGGATAATCATTGAGTTATACTGATTACAAAATACTTAATTATTTCTTTATAAAAAATTATGTTATGAAACCTAAAATAAATTACTTCATTATTACCCTTAAATTAAATTATAATAAAAAAATTAAATAAATTATCTTTATAAAAACATTATATTATTAAACCTAAAATAAATTACTTCRTTATTAAATCCAAATTAAATTATAATAAAAAATTTATAAAACAACAACTACTTTTATATTGTTATTTTAATACTAATATCGATATATTCGTTTATAAAAATTATGAGGTCTTTAAATTTATATTTTATTCAAATATTAAAAAATTATCATTTTCTCAAAATTATAAAAATATGTATTATAGAATTGAGAGAGACAAATAATAAAATAAAACATTAAAATTGAGACGTTTCGCTGCATTACGTGAGTACGTCTCTAAGGAGTGCGTGCTTTTGTGGACTGATTTGGTTTATTGATCCCTCATGTTTGTTCAGGTGTGATTCTGTGGGTTTTTTTGTGTTGCTCCCTTGTGAGTCGTTTTCTAACTTTGCCATCTCTTTGTCTTGTTCCGCTGCGGTTGTTGTTGGCTTAAACTTTGATACCGCCTACAAAACTATAAACCAATCTCATTCACTGATATCCAAACAAACTTACAACAAACCCTAAAATACAAACAAAACTTCTAATACAAATTTAAGTTGTTTGTTTACCTGTTAATAGTTCAATTAAGAGGCAACCTCTGAATCGTTAAGAGGTGAATCTTGTTTGGCAAAAAAAAAAATCTGTCTCTCAATGGTTATAAAATCATTTAAATGATTTTGTATCATCAACCTTCCTTAACCATTAAGAGCCCTAATTTCATTGTAAACAATTATCAAACAATTATATTTCATTTTGCACTATATCATGAAAAACATCTTAATTATTTTGACCACATAATGATTCTGCACAAATTCATTTAACAACTACCAAAGAGCCCCTTAGCTAGAGAGATAATTATCAAATCATTACAAAAAAAAAAAAAAAAAACAGATGCTGTGATAAAGTCTGCTAAAAAAACAACCTTATATATTTTTCAAATTTACACAAGTAATCCTCCAAGAAATAAGAAATAGCTCCGCTAACCTCTACCTTACTCTCACTTTGTAAGTGAAACCCTCATAACCTTCATCTTTATTCAACTTGTCACAAATACCCCCTTTTATATATAAAACCCTACAAAATAAGACAAACAAAATAAGAGACTTGAAGTGACAAGATTGCATTCTAATCAAGACTAAGTTTGAAGACATGCCCACCCATGAATCGTGTTTTAGAAGAAAATCGATCTGGTGCGTCTTGGTGTACCTCATTAATGTTGACATTCAATTAGAATTGATTCAAAGTAAAAACCTCTTCTCACACTTCTCATCATAACTTCTCTTCTCACCGGAAACTAACCCTAATGATTAACTGACGACAAATGTAATAAAAATTTACCCGGTAAGCGCTTATCATGGTAAGAGTCGTCGCCCTCACTTACCGAATAAGACTTTTGGTCATTGTCTCGCTCTTATCAGGTAAGATTCTTGGTCTTTACCATATTCATCCGATGAGGTAATGTTACTTGGTAAGCGCTTACCCGGGTAAGCGTTTGGTAAACAGTCCCTTATTCTATCATCACTTGTCAAATCACATAAAAACCTTTCTATCTTTTGTCTTCATTGGGATTTACAAACAAAACATCCTTGGGTACACGAAACTGGCTTCAGTTCATCATCAAGAAACTATAAAGAACCAGATTACATTAAAATTCTGCAAATTAACATCGATCAAGTACTTACAGAAAAATATTTACACAATCTACAAATTACAAACACCTTTAATGTACCTGATAACATGTGTCTATATTCTTTACGAATGACTAAGGATGTAAAAGAGGGAAACGAGAGGTGGGTTTTTAAACCCTTGTCTCATCATCCTCTTATTTTTATATTTTAATTATTTAGTTTCTAGACTTTTTTTTATTAACCTGGATATCCAACCCGTTATGTAAGCCGACTAATCCCAGGGTGACCACCTGCTTTGCAGATAGTCCGGAGTTACTGCATTTGAACCACCATGGGGGGATTTTTATTCCTCCTTGGATTTGAACCTGGACCTCCAGGTACTTTTGACTTTTGAAGCCAATCTCAAACCAATCAGGCACCACCCTTGTGGTTTAGTTTATAGACTTCGAATCAATGGTCCATGGTTAAACATGCGGTTACTAAAATATATACTTCTTCAAACCAGTTTTTGAGTCGGTCTTATTTGTAAGGATGTTTAAACAACCGATAGACCATAAACATCATTCAGACTGAACCAAAACAGACCGTTTTTGTTGGGTCTATTATAGAAAATATCCAAACTGCTCCGTTCCTGTCCGGTTTGATTATTATCAAATACAATGTGTTCCGGATCATAATTTCGTATAAGAAAAATAGCAAATAAAAAACGAATATATATTATAAAAAATTCATTCTAAATCGATTATTTTTGTTATTTAATCACATAAAAAATTTCATATTTATAAAATAAAATACAATTCTGGTCATAAAACAAACACATCAATTTGTATGAAGGGTATTTATGTAATTCCGTATTCTACCAACACCACCACAGGTAAACACCATTCGTATTTTTTGTACTCTACTCGCTCACGGCAAACGGCAAACGGCAAACGGCACGTTGAAGGTTTGATCTCCTCTTCCCCCTCACATCCCTTCTTCATTCGTATCCAAAAGTTTTTGGATCGCAATTCGCTCGGATTCTCTTTCTATCGCTTTTGTCTGGATCACCTTTGATTGGATAATAGTAATAATAGTCAGATTTCGTTCTATTAGGGTTTTGACGGATAAAAACCTAATTCGCTTTTAGGGTTTCTTGGATTTTTTACAGGTGGATTTGCCAGTGTTCTTCTCAAAATTAGTCATTATGCCAAGAAGTTCAAGGAGCAAATCACACAAGCAAAGCAAGCATAGTTCGAGGGAGTACACAGATTTCGACGAGGATGTGAAGATGAAAGAGAGGAATGATAACAGTGATGGTAAGAAAAATGGGGTTTCTGTTAAGGATTCTAAGGATTCTTTAGCTTCTGGAGAAAAAAGGAAACTTGGTAAGGATCTGGACGGTAGTCATGCGAATGGGAGTGTGTCTGAGGAGTATGCGACGCCTTCAAAGCGGCGGAAAGACAAGATTCATGGCGGGAGTGATAGGTGGAATGGTGATGTTGGTGAGGAGAAAAGTGAGGTTGTAAACGTAGACGATAAGAAGTTGAAGTCGAAGGATTTGGTAAAAGTTGTTGGTGAGTCCAAAAGCAAGACTAGCAGGAAGCATGATGTTGATAGTGCCAGTGTTGTGGTCGTAGAGAAGGACGGAAGTAAGAGCGGCAGTGGGAGTAGAAGCGAAAAGAGGTCTGATAAAGAATCTGGGAGAAAAGAGGGACGTCAGATTAAAGAAAACAAGGAGACGAAGGATAAGGATCGTGGGTCTGAAAGGGAAAGGAAAATTCATGACAGTAAGCGTGAGGTTGAGGCAGTGCCAACGCAAGTTGATAATCAACCAAGTAAAAGAGGAAGAGAACATAATGGTAACTCAACTTCATTCTTTTGATATGTTTGAAATGCAACAAACTAGTAGACACGGTGGTGGAAGTGTTGCCAGAATGATTTACTTGTATGATTAGCATATGCATTTCATGATTTAGTTTGTACAATCTGCAATATCTTGTGCATTTTTCATTTTATGTCTATGCATTTTTATAGCCGATACCCTATGTTGAATGGTTGGAGTTGCTTTCCAGTTGTATATTAGGGATCTGCATGCATTGGTAGAGAATGTAACCCCATTTTTCACCTTGAATGGGTCAAAGCCCAAAATCTGAAGGAACAAAGGCTGATGCTAGACACTGTTGATTGGGATGTATGATGAACACTTGGACACAATTACATTTAAGGGGTAATCTATTGATACACTAGACCTGTTTAAGTAGCCCAGACATAAAGTGGTAGCTTCTGTAGTTTACAAGTTATAGCTCCACAATGCTGTCAATATTTAGTTAGCATCCACCCAAAAAATTCTACAGCCGCTCTTTGCTTTGCCATATAATATTTTTTTTTTTGTTGTTTTCATCTTTTATGGAAGCAATCCCAAAACAGAGGTGGAGGAGATGTAATGAGTATTTGGTATCAGTGTTTGCTAGGGTGAAACTGCTTGCATTTATTCTCTTCGGCATATGTGTACTATCATGGATGGTGATTCATTTTTTTTGAGGGAGTAGGATTAAGGAAAGTTGGAAGATGTTACTTTTTGGTAGAGGTGTGTGTATGATTATTGGGATGTTTTAGGATGCTTTAATGAAGATTTATGTGGAGATCATGATATACCGTTGGTTATTCTGCTGGATCAGTTTTGATTTTGACTTAATGGATTAGTATGGCAATATTGAAAATATCGGCTTGCAATTGCATTTGGTGAATAATGGTTCATAAAAGTAAATGTTGGAAGTATATTTATTAATCTGGAGATGTAATATCATGTACTGGAGAAAGTGAGTATGTCTCTTGGAATATCATGCAACTCCAATTGAGAGAGCAGACTCACCTATGGGGAGTTGGGGATGTAAGAAACATTACGCCTTAAATATCTTTTTATGGGCATACTGATGTCAAATGGTTTGCTGTGGCCATCTAAGCTATGGGGACATAAGAAACATTATGAGTTTACATCTTCAGTATTATTTTCTATTTCTTTTACTTGTCTCTTTACTTTTGCTTATGATGCTTGGGAGATTTTTCTTGATATTCCTTCTTTGTTTGATTTATCATGATGGTCCATATTTATGAAACTGCTATGAAGTTACTGATGGCTCTTCTATGCATTCAGGTCACTTTACTTAACTAGGTGGATTATGGATTGGGAGGTTGTGGGAACTTGTTTTTCTGGCTTATCGTTGTTGAGGAATTAGCTTTTAACAATTGATCTCGCTTGATACAGTCATACTAACTTAATATTCAATGCTTGTCTATTTAGAAGATGGTTTGTTCATGGGTTTACCAAATAGGCCTTTTGTATGTTCATTTTTATCTTGTTCATATATTTTGTTCCACCCCTGATATGCCTGTGGGAATGCTCCTCCTTTAGTGGACTCTGTGTTTGATGTTTCTTGGCTTGATTATTTTCGAACAACCAGTATTATTGTTGTCTCGTGAGAGCATCAGATTTATTTTCTAAGGACATTTGTATGAGTTGATCTCTTACCATGTTTGATCTATTTTATCTCCTTCCAGAGTGGCCTATAGAGGAAGAATTGAGAAACATCGAGTTAGAGAAGGAGCTAGAAAAGAGGATGAGGAGAAGAGAAGGCTACAGTGACAAGGATAGATATCAGGATGACGTAAAAGACGATGATGAGAGAATACTGTCTACGAAGAGTGGCCATGCCAAGGATAGTGACGATGAGAGAATTCTGTCTACGAAGAGTGGCCATGCCAAGGATAGTAAACACAAGGATGAAGTGTATGGGGACAAGTTCAGGGAAGGTAGCAACAGAGAAACTAGACCCAAGGAGGATAAATGTAGGAACGATGGTGACCCAGTTAGCAAGAGTAGGGATGTGAAATACCGAGGAGAAAATGGAAAAGGTAGCAAACACAAGGATGATAAGTACCGTGAAGATGGTGAAAAGGTTAGACGAGAAGATAAATATCATGAAGATGGTAATAGAGACGTTAGAAATAAGGATAGAAAGAATCATGATGATGGTGATAGAGACAGCAGACGCAGAGATGAAAAGCATAGGGAAGGTGGTGGTAGGGTTGAAAAGAACAGGGATGACAAGCACATGCAAGATGACAACAGGGATTATAGGCATAAGGAAGAGAGATATCGAGAAGATGGTGACAGGGACCATAGGCACAAAAACAGCAGGCCCAGAGATGATACTGATAGAGAAAAAAGAGTGAGGGATCCCAAGCACAGAGATGTCCATGCCTCAAGAGCCCACTCTAGTGAGGTTGACACCAAGAATATGAAAGATGATATGGATGCTGACTTAAGTCATGGACAAAAAAATAAACGCAGTGGAAGCCCAATTTATGACGATCGAGTTGCCAGACACAAAGACGACAAGGATAGGAGAATAGATAATGATAAAGATGAGCGATCTATGAACGATGCTAAAGTAGACCCAACCCCAGAAAGGGGAAGGCCTAGTTCTCGCAATGATATGGAAATTACAGGCAATCATAGCCGTCACAGAAGTTCCCCTAGCAACAAATTTTACCCCACAAGAGATCATCACAGGTACATTTTATCTACCCTAGGATTTGCATTCCAACCATCTCAAGCTGGGTATACAGTTTAAGATAAGTTGTCTGTATGTTTCATCATTGGAAGAAAGGGCTTGCTTGAATCCCTGCTATCTAGTTTTACTGGGAGCAACTTCGGAAAGAGGCTAGGTATTCATGTTACTTATGACAAGACAATTTTGCAGAAAGGCCTTTTTGGTTACTAATTGTTAAGAGTCCCATATCGGCTAGACTTGGACCATTTTTCATCTATATATGTTGGAACCTCACTTCTCTTCTCAAGAGCTCTTCGGGTTCCACATATCCTGACACCAATGATATCTGTTTATCTGCATGTCCTTTTTTATCTATTTTTTATGTGCGACCTGCTGAAAGGTTTGGTACATGACCATTTACATTCTGATGTCTGGTGTATTGTTTTTCCTCTCTCTCTCTATATATATATATATGTATATATATATTCTGGGAATAAATATGTAAGTCAAGGTATCCTTATGTCTGTATCTTGTATTTTACGGATCGTCCCCAAAACGAAGGGTCAGGGAGGGATTTCTGAATGTATTGAGGAGAATATTTTGGTTCTTGGGTCCACTTTTGGTAGATCATTCTAAAATTATAAATTTCACTAATTTGAATGATGTTTACCTGTATGCTTTTGTTTTATAAATTATGTTAAAACAAGTAGTGGGCTTGGTATTATAAGATGTTTCTCTTTTATCTTATGGAATAAGATGAGTAATTATTTTTTGCATTGTTTAGGATTTCAAAACAAGAAGAAACCAAATATCGGGACTCTGTTCATGAAGAGAGAGCTTGCCATAATGTTAACTCTAACAGATATTTCACTTCTGCACCTGGGCAATCTGATAAAATTTCGTCTCGGTCACTGGAGAAAATTACTCAGAAGGATGACAATTTTATTGATGATTTATCAGTGGAAAGGCACCGGAGATCAGATGCCCGCTCTTCCCCACTGGTGGACTCATCCCCTTCATCTGCAAGTAACGGACGCAGACACTTGAACAGGCTTGATGTTAGGAGGAATCTTGATGTTGATGAATTAGGACAGAGGAGCAGTGGTTCCAAGGATGCAAAGGAGTATTCAGATAAAGACGGTAAAGTAAATCACAAGTTGGTTATGGAGGTACATCCTGACAATGATCTTTCACACGTGGATGGTGACAATTGGTCTGTTTCATCACCATATGTAAGAAGTGGTCCCTTTTCTGGCAATCATAAGTCACTTCTGCCTCTTCAACCCCTATACAGAACAGGATCAGATAGCCCTTTAGGCTTTGGTTCTTCAGAAGATGACAGAAGTAAATCAAATGGCCGTCATCGGAGGTCAGGTGACTCTAACATGGGAAGACCTCAAAGTAATTGGAAAAATGTCCCTAACTGGCCCTCCCCCTTAACCAACGGTGGTTACATCCCTTTCCAGCACATTCCTCCTCCAATATTTAATCCCGCTATGCAGCAATTTGTGCCTCCAATCTTTGGTAGACCTCCGATGCAAGTGAATCATGCTGGTATGCCTTACCATGTTCCTGATGGCGACAGGTTTTCTGGTCACGGGCATCCACTATGGAGGAATCAACTGGAAGAATCAATTCCACCTCCGATACACAGTTGGGAAACAAATAATGCCGTTTTTGGTGATGGATCTCATGGGTATGGGAGGCTTGATTGGGACCATGGTAGAACTCAATTGAACAATCAAATGTGGGAATCAAGTGCTGATCTGTGGAAGGGGCAGGACTCCCATAAAATTGACCATTCAGTTAACAGACCTACCGATGAATTCTGGTCAGGGCCGACAGGCCAGCATGTTGAGAATGAACATAGCCAACCGGATAATATTCAGGAAGTGGCCACTAACAACATTCCAGAAATTATGAAGGCTTCAGAGATCCCCCGCATTTCTGTGGTTGCAAAGGAGGATGATCCTCTTATTCCTCAGGTTTATCTTTCAAAGATTGATATCTCTGAAGATCTTACTCAGCCTGAACTTTATGACCAGTGCACAAACATGTTGGCTTTAGATCAAGCATCAGTCTCGGATGAATTTGATTGCAAGATATTGTTTTTAGAAGCGAAGGTGACATGTTCGTTTAATGCACAGGGTGATATTTTTCATTATTTGCTGTAAATTACATCTGATCTTTTATTTTTCCTAACATGTAACAGGAGGGTATAGAAGCTGATATTAGCAATGGTGCTTCGCTATTTGCTGCTATAGATGATTCCGTTTTTGAGGTTCATCTTCTTCTACTGAAGTTGTTGTCTTGCTTGTTTTATATATCAGGTTTACTTTGATGATTTTATCATTTTAATTAGGGCTATGCATCAACCCAGAAGTGGACCGAACCAAAATTTGAAAAATTTAGGACCGTGATCGGACCAAAATTTTATCTTCCGGTTTCTCAATGGTCGAGCCCATGACTAAACTGTGAACTAAAATATTTTTTTTGAGGGGGTTTCTTTCACAAAATTTTTATTTTAGTTTATTTTATCTGTTGTTCTGTAAGGAGCTCTTGTAATATCTTAAATGAATAACCTAAGAAGTTGATATGCTTCCAAGACCCTGATGATATATTGGTAGAGACATACATACAAACACACAAACTTCTCCAATATTCTGTCTTGTAAAAAACTAAGAAAAACAGAGTTGGTGCGGTTTTGGTTTTGATCGGTTTTAATGATCTTGGGTTGTTCTGGGCCGAGAACCAAGTTCTATAAATATAGGAACTGAGAACCAGACCATTTGTTGACAGTTTCTGTCGACTTGTTGGATGTCTGTTCAACTAGATTTAAGCACACCCCAAACTCTACTGCTGCTTGTATTTTGGACATGTGTATACGTTTTGACCAATAGCACCTTTGTACATACGTCGTTCCACATGGATTATGCTAATCTGGTTTAGCTGACTGTCTTGAATTGCGTGTATTCTAATACAGGAACCATATCAAGTTACAGTGTTTTTTATTTGTCCCCCCACTAGATCAAGAAATAAAGTAGCATGATTTTTGTTATATTTTTTTGAGATACATTTGTTCTTGTCCTTTTTACGTTGCAGAAAGCCATGTCCCTTTACACAAAGCACAAGGTGCCCTTTGTTTCAATAAATCAAGAGGGAGTGTCGGTTTCATCATCTGATCAAGAGAAGGGCGGTCCTGATAACAGTGGGAAATTGGTGGAGGAAGCTGTTGAGGAGGAAAATGAACTACTGATCCAGAAGGTTGATATGAAGGAAGATAAATCTGATGAACAGATATCAACTTCAGAAAAGATGGATATGGAGGTGGATGGTGGTTGTGAAATAGAAGTTAAAGATTCTTCAGGCAACAAGGTTGATAATTTGTTGGTTTTGACCAATAATGTGTCAATGCCAGAGTTAATTGAATCTGGGTTGGTAAATTTGAGTCGGATACATGATGAAAGTACACATTGAGACTATTCGTGCGTTCAAAATGGCGCATTGGCTTTGCTTTTATCAATCTGCTCTGCTTATTATCGCTCTTTTATCTTTGCTTCGCTAGTCAATCAATAAAACTAGTCTCATTCCATTTATTGTTGTTGTGTAGTTGTTGTTGGGTTTTTTTCTCAGGCGATCTTTGAGTGATTCAATAACCTTCCATTGCCAATGGAATTTCATCTTTCTTCTTGCGGCAAAAGTGGCATCTGGTGTGTGGTCTTCCGCAGCTGGTGAGTCTCCTTCACGTACCTACTTTTTAGTATGTTAGAGTTACATTTTTAAGTGTATAAACTGTTGGCTTCTAAGTAGGTTGAGATCTACCGGTAACCTGGATACAGTCGGGCCATTGACCTTTTAGTTTTTTTTTTGAAGTATATAATATTTATATACGGCAAATAGAACAAATAAACTCATACACCTTCTTCACACTTGGTGAGGTTTGAATCTTTGACCTCCTAGGAGGCCAATGACTCACATACTGTCGGGCCATTGACCTTTTAGCTGTATTAAGATACATTTCATACTCGTTATGGCCATCAAATTACGATTTTTATAAAAATCCAGGAGTAATTGGGAAAAAGGATTTCAAAATTTCTGCTTTCATGCCATGGAAATGGAATTTCATAGGGAAATCTCAAGTTACAGTCAAGTTTGCATGCATTTTAGTCAGAAATCTTATTTTTAGAAAAGAGAAAATTGCATTTCTTCTATTTTTATTTAGGTTTTTATTGTATTTGATTTTGTTTAATTTAAAACCCTCGACCTACTAAAATCTTTCTATTTTAGGACAGTTTTACCAGAAATCTTGAAAATACCCATCAGGATTTGTTAGATGGTATTTTCTGGATTTAGCCTAGTGGTATCCAGGTTACAAATAAATAGCCTTCTAAAAACGAGTATTTGAAAAAATGAGGTTATATTTTCTTAAGTTAAGTACAGTATGCAATTAAAATTATATTTATTCTTTAATTAATTTATTTTTATTTTAAGATTTCCTTCAACAAAAGAGGCTTAGGCCGTTTATCAAACGATTATCCGGTAAGTTTTTATCAGGTCCTTGACCTTACTGGTTGTACATGACACGATAAAGACCTAGAATTTTACCCGATAAGAGCAATGACAAGGACCAAGAGTTTTTACTTGGTAAGTGAGGATAACAACTCATACTTGGTTAGTGCTTACTGGATAAGTTATTGCATACAATGTTGTTTTGGTTAAGTAGAATCTTACCCGATAAATTAAATGACAGTGCAGACTCATTGGTAAGTACTTACTGAGTAAGCGTTTAGGTAAATTGCCCCTTAGCCGTAAGTGCCACTGGGATTTATAAATCAAATGTCACATAATCCCAACTCGCATCAATGTGATTGAACAAAATATGGTAAATTACTTGATAAAAATCCACAAAGAAAATAAAAAATAGAATGAAATTTGAAAGTTAATTTTTCTTGATAAAAGTGAAAACAAAAAGAAGGGTCCCCCGGTCTTTATTTCGTAACTAATTTTTTTTATTTTACAAGTCTAATGATATGTTTGTTAGTAGTTTCATGAGAGTCATAGTTAAATTGTCTTAATGATATAGAAATCGACTTATTAAGAGGGGCTTTTATGTAAAAAATTCAAGTTTTTTCAGAATTTGTCACCCCAAATTAAAAAAATACGTTTCTCCCATTTATAAAAAATAAAAATCTCAAACAAAAATCTTCTCAATCTATATCGATGGATTAATCACCACAAATAGCTTTATCTATGTATAAACCTAGCAAACATGTCATCATTGTTAAAAAGATGACGACGCTCCTAATTTTCTTTTTTGGAAAAAAATATTGCTGAAATATATTAATGGACTCCCAAGGAGCAAATATTGTTCATACAACGAGAAATAGAAGGTGGTAAATTAGAGAACGTAACAAGACAAGAAAGGGAATGAGATAGTTGGGCAAGAGCATGTGCCATCCTATTCGCTTGTCTCCTAATAGCAGTGACACAGAAAAACTCGTGGTTGTAAAGTATGGTACGTGTGCGGTCCGAATTGTCTTCCTCCAAAGAGTTTATCGCATCCACAACAATCATTGTATCGGTTTCGAAGTGAACCCGATGGAACCCCGAATTGACTGCCCAAGACATGGCAAGTAAGAGTGCCCAAGCTTCACACTCTCGATAACTGGCATCTCATCAATCAAACCCTGATCTAGCAGTAATCAATAAATCATGGTCATCTTGGATTACTATACCAATCCCCGCCTTTGCTTCAGCCAAGAAAAGCGTCGTATCAATCAAGACAGTTTATTTACTATTTAATATGACAGATAATCTAAGACCTGCCAACATAAACTATTTGAAATTATTTTGATCAGATAAATCATTGGAACCAAACAAATCGATAATGATTAGCAAATCATTGGAGTGTATGTTAAGAAACAGACTTTACAAGTCTAAAAGATTACTTTGTCCAATTTCCAATCATACAATGTTTTAATTGTATATAATTTATGGTTTTACAATTAATATTTTTTGTATAAAAAACTGAGAAGAAACTACTTAAAATGGAAATGACTAGAATTGGGAATTTGAGATCCTATGAGCCCGACCTTTCTATTTATGTTCTAAGTCATTTTTCGCGACTTTCACATTCCAATTGAATACACGCATTTGGACCATTTATTAAACGTATATCATGTTACTATTTTTACCGGATGAACATGATAAAGACAGTGAATCTTACCTTGTAAGAGTCATGACAACAACCGAGGTTCTTACCTAGTAAATGAAACAAAATATTTACCCAATTAGTGCTTACTGGGTAAGTGACATCTACAAACAATCCATTTTGATAGCCGATAATGTAATAGAAAGCGATGACTCTTGCCAGTAAGCGTTTACACGGTAAACGTTTGGTAAATAACCACTTAACCTGTAGGCATGAGAATGGCACGAGGACCCAATCCCTGTCCGCGATCCTAATCTCCTTCCCCCTCCCCGTTGGAGAATATGATCACATCCCCATTCCCAATGGAGAACTGAGGATTTTTTTCTCTCGTTTATTTGAGATATCTTAAATCAAATGTGTTAAACACTATACTCGATCAATAATGGTTCATGTTTAAATCTCATATAATTCTAAAATTTTGCTTTCACGGTGAATTAAATATGCATATGTGAACAAAATCACATCATATGTAATTGTTTGATGAAACGTTTTCGGCTCACCATTTTTTTTGTCTGAAAAAAGTAAGACAAGTTAGAAAAAATGTATATAAGAAAAAAGATCAAGATACTTTTTATAAATCTAAAAAAAATACTAAATCTAACTTCTACTAAATAATAAATATATAATATCTTTAATATACGGGAACGGGACGAGATGGATATCACATTACCCGGCCCCGGCTCCATCCCCGATTTTTAACTTCCAGGGATCCCCCGTCCCCATCTTTGATCCCCAGCTTTGCAGGGAATCCCCATCTTTTTTTAAGCTAAAAGAACTGATCAAGTAATGAAGTATGAACAACTCATAAGTTTACTAAAATGTTCGGTTTATTTGTTGAACAAAAGTTATGTTATATTAGATCCATTGGACAAAAGAATAAGTTGAAGCTGGTACGTATCCTGGCCAAACCCACAAATCATCACTTGTAATACACGTCTGCTAAGTTTCAGAAAGGGTATTCACATGCCTGATTTATAAAAATGATATATTTTTACTTCTTACCGATACGATTTTCCAATTTACACTTCCTTTTTTTTGTATGCCTAAAATCGTGTTTGCTCTCTTGTTACCTACGTCGATAAAATGATCATCTTTGGCAGTAATCGACTGATTTTTAAAAAGGGTATTCGAATGCACAAGTTTTGAAAGAAGAAAAAATAGCAGTTTTTTTCCTCAGTATTACAAATTTTCAATTTACACTACATTTCCTCTATGCCTAAAACCATGCTTGCTCTCTTGTCCTATCAAACCTATAACTAAAAATGAGAAAGTTTACGATGCAACTATCATAAGGACAGAATAAAAAGAAAACGAGGGTTATAAGCCCATTTATCGTATCTATCTTGTAATTAGCCTGAATAATCAACGGGCATAGGTCTATTGTATACAGTTTCGATGGGAGCTTGTAAGAAAATGACCAAAGCAGTTTCTTTGTAGTTTTCGACATCCTTTGCCAATTGGGAAAGCTCCGTAGGGATGGGCATATTGATCTCTGTGATGCTATCGACACAATCTCTCAATGTAATTTCTCCAGTACGCAAGTAGTATTCAATCAGGTCTTTGTTATCTTCATCAACAGCCACAATCAGATCCTTTAAGTAACTAGTTGCATCGTTTAATTTCTGTTGGCACGTCTTTAAGATATTTGCTTTGGATGGAGAACTGATCTTTCGGACCACGGAGGTGACGACAGGTACGAGTCGCACAGAATTCTTCTTGTTGAGATCAAGAGTTGCCTTAAAAGCGTTTTTTAATGCGTCGTTATGAGTTTTTGCATCCTTCACCATCTCGTTGCATAAGGGCTTCAAGTTTGCGAATTGGCAAAAGGGACTCTCTGCCGCATGGCTAGTGGTCGTCGTCATAACCACCACCATTGCCACCGTCGTTGCCACCACGAACCCGTGTTTATCCATTTGGTCGATATTTAGTTAATAATATCGCTTATATTCAAATTCTTGAATTAGAAAACAAAGTATCATCCACTAATTTCATAATTTTCTCTATTTCTTCTCCTTACCACCAAATCCATGGCTTAATTCATGGTTTTCCTAAATCAAGCTATTCAAGATGCCGGGGTAATATTGTAATTTTCATAAAGGTAGCTAAGGGTATTTTTGTCATTTCAAAAACATATCATGTGAATCTTTGAATTACATTTCTTTCTGATCTAGTTTTCTTTGTGACATTAACCAATATACAAATTTAAGTTAAGAAAAAATTAATTTCAAAAATCACAAAAAACAACTACTTAGAATTAGGGATGCTCATAGATTGAGTTGATCAGGTTAAAGACATTTAAACAACCCAACACAATGCTTGCGGTTTGAAAAATCTTAACTCAACCCCAACCAACCCAAAGTGCAACCCAACCCAAACCGTACGGGTTGATAGGGTTGATCGGGTTAATACTTTGGTACATTATTCGTATATATGTTCACGGTTACTGAACATATATACGAATAAGTTATATAGAGATGGTATAATAGATTGAAAATATATATATATATGAAGAGCGTACATGATAGTGTAATTGTCTAATGTATATAATAATATAAACTCAACCATCATATTAAATCCATGAAATAAAAGGATATTGGGTTTATCAGGTTGGGTTGGATTCAAATAATAGTAACCCAATATCAACTCAATACCTACGGTTTGAAACTTTTACAACTCGATTAGACATCGGGTTGCTTCGGGTTGAGTTATTTCGCGTTGGGTTGATCGGATCGGTCAGATTTTTGAGCGCCCCTACTTAGAATTATGCTAAAAGTTTATCCATTCTAATATGAACAAAGTCAGTTATTATTCTTGGCGTTTAATTACGGTTAAAAATGATATTATGTAGTTAAACAATCAGTTACACTTTTTAAAAAGGTTACTTATACCCATAAAACTATAAAAATCCTAAATTTTCGTAAAAACCGTAAACTTCAACATATTTGTAACGTTATTATGAGCTAGTGCCATTTGTAGTAACAGCTATTATAGGAGGAATGTTTTTATATGCTGCTAACGATTTAATAATTATCTTTGCAGCTCTAAATGTTTCAGTCTTCTCCAACCCTTATTGCTCAGCCTCACAGTGGACAACTATGAATCTCACGCAGAGTTCAATATCTTTGTATGACGATCTGTTTCTTTAATCTATATTGCAAATATGAAAATCGTGTAATACAATGTTAAGTACAAAAACATCATTTTGACTTTTTTTTACGGATGTAAAGGTTACGTCATGACATGACCATGACATGACCATAAGTTGTACTTGTGTACAATTTACTTGTAATCTTGAATTTTAAGTAATGTATATTAATAAACAGTACTTCATGCATAAAAAATGGGTGTTAAAAGTTTTTGTCAAATGCTATATAATATAGTATAGATAATCAGTCTATATTTTTAAATATGATTTATTTATAACAAATTCATATTAATAAATAAGTTGAAATTAAAAAAAAAAAGCTATATGATTAATGAGTTTATATGAAAAAAAATTGTATGTAAAATCAATATTTCATTTTCCAAAATATATTTATAGAAAAATTATTTTAAAATTCAATACATATTAACTGTCTGTCATTTATTATTATCCATAAAAAATTAAACAAGTTACATGTTAATTGTGATACCAAATTATAATGGAAACAAAATTGCATGTATAAATATTTAATATGAAAAATAAAGTAAATTACAAAATAATTCTTTTAAGACTTACCAAAAATTTAATTTTGTTCCAATTTTTTCGGAATTAGAAAGAACGGCATAGTTGCAATTGCAAACATCATAATCCATGACTATTAAGGTGGCATTTGTTTTTTTAAGAGGTGTTGAAGTATAAAGTCTTATTTCACTTCTGATTGATAACATGTGGTTCTGAAATCTGAATCAATAAAACTGTTTGTTTTTGTAAATGGACAAACGTCTAAAATCTGAATCAATAGTCTGTTTTTGTAAAATCAAGTGTTTTGCAAAATGCTCTTGATTTTCATAAAATTTTCATTGCCGAAATTAATTTCAACAATTGTTTAACAGATGGAACACGGTAAGAACCTTTTTGATACCTTTCAGACTTCTGATGCTATTGGAATGCCGCCGGTGAGTTTGTTTGTGGAAAGATTGATACTTTTGATAGATGATAGATCGTCAATAGAAGTTCTTGTTTCCCATTAATCATCTAAACTAACCTATACGTATAAAAATTATATATATATATATATATATATAGAGAGAGAGAGAGAGAGAGATCTAAAGAGAGAGAAAGTGGGGGCATCCATTTCACATGGGTGATGAAAGGACGGTGACGTCTTTGGTGGAGAAAGAAGCAATAGCAAAAAAAAAATCAAAGAAAAGAGGAAATAAAAATAATTAATATATTAATTTACCTCTTATTTATTCAAACTCTATTAAGTAATAAGAGGCTAAAAAACAGTTTGAACTATAAAACGCCTGAACAATCAGACATAAGTGATAATTAAGAGCTAAAAATGAAAAAAACAAACAAGACCTTAAGTTTTCTGTAATAAGTGTCTTATGTGCAAGTCACTTGAGATCAACTTGGTTTATTTTCATGTTTTTATTAAAAAGCAGATATTCAAGTCTCAAATTTTAAAAAAGAAATCCTAAAACCAACTCTCTCCACCAGATAAACCTCCTCTTCGAAAGTAAGATTCTTCCCCGACCAGCAAAACCATCGCGTCTCTCCTTCTCACGTTATAGAACCTTGATTTGTTTGTTTGATTGATAAACCTTACAATAGCAATAGTTCAACTATATAATACTCAAAATTTAACGTTACGTTCTTGAGCTATTCTTTTAAGAGGGAAAAAAGGAAGGAAAGTAGACGGGGAAAGAAAAAAACACTCTGATAACTATTTATTTAAACTATATATACATATACATATAAGTAATTTGTTTGGTATACATATATACATACAAACTAGAAGAGTACTCGCGCAATGCAGCGAAACATATCTCGATTTTAATGTTCTATTTAATTATTTATCTCTGTCGATGTTATAATACGATTTTATGTGTTTTTAAGAAAGCAATAATGATTTTATTTTTGAATAAAATATAAATTTGAAGATATCATAAAATTTTGAAAAAATATATATATCAAGGTTAATATCAAATCAACTATTTAAAAATTCTCATTTTTATGTAATTCCTGTAATTTATTTTTTTATTATAATTTAATTTAAGTTTAATAACGAAGTAAATTATTTTTGGTTTAATAATATAACATTTTATAAAGATAATAATTAAGTATTCTGTTAGAATTAAATATTATCCTAATTATATTTTAGATTTTTTATATTTAAAATGAGATGTTTATTTTTTATTTGAGTATGTTTATCAGTAGTTAATATTACGAATTCAAATATAGAACTTTAATAAATTATACTTACGCACAATCTACTTGTAATTTTGAGTATTAAATAACAAATTCGTCTCCAACATATACGTCCATAAAACCAAAAAACAACTTAAATTACTTGTATCCATATAGACATACAATCCAGATAAATAATTATCGGGATATTTGTCAAGTTTTTCGTTTTTAACCTCCCTATTACTAAAAATATAAATAGTTGAAAGGTATGTGTGAGTGTTTGTCTTGATTCTGGAATTTTCCCTCTCATTAGTCAATTTCAAGAAAATGCAACATGGTTCCAGAGATCTCCACACCTCTAAAGATTTCTGCTTTAACGGACCAATCAATCTCTTTCCATGGCTTTCCTCCCCAAACTGCGATTACTAGTAGTCATTAAAACCCTAATTAAGGCTTCCAAATTCCTCCCATCTGTCCCACTCTTTCAATGCTTATTAATGCTCACACAAATTGGGTTGTAGATCCAACACATGTCAGTTTTTGGTCTCCTATCTGTCAACACCTCGCACTAAATCTTCTCTCTTCCATTTCTGTATGATTCCCCCATAAATACGCATCTCAATTTTCGGACTTCATATAGCGAGAACCTGTTCGTAAAGGGTCCGATTGCATGCGCTGGGTGCGAATTCCGGCCCTGTAAGGGATTCAATTTGGCTATTACAAATGGCGCCGCCGTTGTGTGTATTGGTGACTGGTGGTGCCGGATATATAGGGAGCCACACCGTGTTGCAGTTGTTATTAGATGGTTACAACACGGTCGTAGTTGACAATCTTGATAATTCCTCAGAAGTCGCTATAAGTCGAGTTCAAGAACTCGCCGGTGATCGAGCTCACAACCTGTCGTTTCACAAGGTTTGTTCCCCCCTCCACTCTTTAATTTTCGCTTTATTCATCAACACTTTGTTCTGATTGGATGTACAATTGATTAGGTTGAGTGTATCTAGCCTCTGATGGGTTCAGAGCTGGGTTCTAACATAAACTTATAAAAGATTTGGTGATAAATTGCAAGAACCTATGACCCTCCGTACCATTTGTTTGCAAAAACCATTCGTTTTTTATTAACCTGGATATCCAACCCGTCATGTAAACCCACTAATTCCAGGACGATCACCTGCTTTGCAGATAGCCTGGAGTCACCGCATTTGAACCTCTTTGACCACAAGGGGATTTTTATTCTCCTTGGATTTAAACCTGAGACCTCCAGGTTTCTTGACTTTTGGAGCCAAACTCAAACCAACCAGGCAACACCTTTCAACCAGAATTGCCAAGTGTTTCAACCTAAAATGCAACTTTTTTTAATCCCACTTTGGTTATTCTGACCAGATGATCTAGTTTCTATTTTTGGGAAGTTTGGGAGTGAATATTTGCTAGTTATGTATAGATTAAATGTTGCATAAGAAATTGATTTGGACTTTGGTGGACCTTTTTGCTTTAACTTGAAACAGAGAAGGATGGTAGGTACTGTTCTGGGTTAGTTGAGGTTTCCTAGCTTTATAATTACTGATCCAGATTTCAGAATTCAGAACCACCTCTCATAAATCAGAAGTGAAATCAGACTTCGGCACCTCTTATGAATTAGAAGTGAAATCAAACTTCGACACCTCTTAAAAAACAAACGTCACCCTAATGTTTTTTCTTCATTTGATTGATGGCCGATGTGATAAATGCTCTTATTATTCCGCTCGAGCATGAAGTGTTTACTCAAGTTATTTGGGTTTACGCGAAGTTGCATACATGTGTTATTCTATTAAGTTAAACTAGTGTTTCCAACTCGTGTACTCTTGTGCTATGCTGCAGATGGACGTCCGGGATAAGCCTGCATTAGAGCAGCTTTTTGCCTCCACGAAGTAAAATTTTCTTTTCACTACTGTTATAGTATTATTCTTCATTTCACGTGTGTCGTTTTCTAAAGTAATTCGATTAGTATCCTGGTACCACGGTTTTGTTCTTCAATTTTGGCTTTTTATTGTCGTTTATAATTATAAACCGAAGTGAAATATAGCAATTTGTAATCTTTGCCAACTATAAATGAGTGCTAACTGTTTCTTCACTGCCTTTATTCTGCTGGCTACGTAGGTTTGATGCCGTTATACATTTTGCTGGATTAAAGGCAGTCGGTGAAAGTGTGGAGAAACCCTTGATGTATTACAACAACAATATCATTGGTACTTTAACTCTCTTGGAAGTTATGGCTGCCCATGGATGCAAGAAGGTATCTCGTTAACTCTTTCTTGCTTATTGAACTCGGATTCATGGCTGACGCTATTCAGTTGCACCATTTACCTCCATTTTGTGGGAGGTCAGGTAAATGGGACCCACAAACACATCTTCACTTGTCATGACACCATTATAAGACAAGAACTATATTGGTGAATGTTAAGATGGCTGAATGGATTAGGGAGGATTAAAAAGTTCATGTATTTGCTAATGGGGGGTGGTTGTATATTTTCGAACGTTTCAGCTTGTGTTTTCATCATCGGCTACTGTTTATGGTTGGCCGAAGGAGGTGCCATGCACAGAAGAGTTTCCCTTAGCTGCAGCCAACCCTTACGGACGAACCAAGGTATGATATTCTTGGTTCATATTTAGAATTACTTGGCTTTGTGAACGAACTTCTATATATAGTTTGATGAATGACCCGTTGTTTAGTTTTGAATGATTTAGTCGCTAATCCCTATGATGTATTTTTCGTCAATATTTGATGGAATTTCTGAATTCTGATGTATGTATGGACTAATAGACTTAATCCCTTCAGCTGATCATTGAGGAGATATGTCGGGATATATATGCTTCGGATCCAGAGTGGAAAGTTATATTGTTGCGGTACTTCAACCCAGTGGGTGCACATCCTAGTGGTCGAATAGGCGAAGATCCTCATGGAATCCCCAACAATCTTATGCCTTTCGTTCAGCAAGTTGCTGTTGGCAGGCAACCTGCACTTCAAGTGTATGGAACTGATTACTCCACAAAGGATGGAACCGGGGTACGCTTTGGCTGTATATGAGGGAATACGTAGCAGAAAAGGTATCCTTGATCTATTTCTAATTGTTTTTCTTTAAGTTCTCAGGTACGCGATTACATCCATGTTGTAGATTTAGCAGAAGGACATGCTGCTGCATTGAGAAAACTCTCTCATCCTGAAATAGGTGCGTCGCTTTTGCCGTTCTCTGACTTAAGTTCGATGAAATTTGTGGATACACGGCCTAGGTGTCAACTGTTAAGCCAATAGCCAGAGCTTAATACATGTGGCATCGCATGAATCTTGTGTCTATTTTTGTGTTGGGTTTTAATGATTCCTATGTTGTTTTTAGGCTGTGAGGTTTACAACTTGGGGACAGGTAAAGGGACATCAGTTTTGGAGATGGTATCAGCATTTGAAAAGGCTTCAGGAAAGGTACTGCTTTTTTTGTACATCCATCTGAATCCACATGTGATTAAATGATCTGTATTTGGTAAAAGCGAATGCGAATGTTAAATGCTGAGAATTTGCGGTTGTTGGTCCAGAAAATCCCTCTGGTTAAGGGCGAGCGACGCCATGGTGATGCAGAGATCGTGTACGCGTCAACGGCAAAGGCCGAACGTGAATTGAACTGGAAGTAAGTGGTCCCATCCTGGATGTTAGCATGGTTATGTATGGTGTATCATGTATGTGTATGTTATTGCAGGGCAAAGTATGGAATAGAGGAGATGTGTAGAGACCAGTGGAAGTGGGCAAGCAACAATCCTTATGGCTATAAAACCAAAGGCTGATCATAGTTGGGATTGGGAAGTAAAAGTAACAGTGAAAGTAAAAAGTAATTAGTAAAAGTGTAGCTTAATGTACATGAGATTTAAGAGATGTTTCCATAGTTTTCCTCAGTAAAAGCTTCTTGTTTTCCATCTTTTATATCATCTACTAGAATGAGGGGAAGGTTTCATCATAGAGCATGAAGCTTGGGTGAACCGGTCAAACCTTGTAGTGGTCTCGGTTCGGACCAGTCTTTTAAGGGTGTGTTTGGTATGTAGACTGGACATGTAAGAGTAAGGTAGGTGAATGAAAGAATTCAACTGAGTTTTAAGGATTTAATTTGACATGAAGTTATCAATATCGTTTCATCATCCTGAAATTCCTCCCATTAGCCTTGTCATGTTTCGATCTTAATATCCTATCAAACGAAAATGATTATTTTTACCCTTAACAGGTTCTCCAACGGGGATCGGGGAAACCGCAGGGACCTGATGGGAGATCGGGACAGTTACGGGGACGGTTTTTGCTATCGGTTTCGGGGACGAGGATACCAATACCCGACCCGTTGCCATTCCTAATCTATGCTTGATAGATACTAAAACCAGTTAAATATGGGCTAGCCCTTCCAATGCTTTGTTAGAAACGGTTACCATTGATCATAAGACCGGTCAAAACATGGTCATAGGACCGGTCAAAACATGGTCAACGAAATTACATATGCAAGAAATTTATATATAAACAATATATATGATCAAAAAATATATAAAATAAAATAAAAGAGGTTGGATTAGACTGGTGTAGGACTAGTTGGGCATGTCCACCAATGAACGCTTTTAAATTTTGAACTTTTGAAATGAACTTGTAAAAATCATCTGAAAACTGGGATAGGTTGTCAGGTTGGAGCATTAGGAACCATCTTTCCATATTATTTATTGATATATATTATTTAATTTTAAGATTATAAGTAAACGATACATAAATACAAGTTTGAATTATAATTAATTAATAAACATAATCAAATACAGGATAAATATTTTATTTTAAATTAAAAAGGTATCCATGCAATGCAGCGAGATATATCTTGATTTTAATATTTTATTTTATTCTTTATTTCAGTCGATGTTATAATATGGTCTTATAAAATTTTGAGAAAGCGATAATGTTTTTATTTTTAAATAAAATATAAATTTAAAGATATCATAAATATTTGACAAAAATATATCGATATTAGTATCAAATTAACTATTTAAAATTCCTTATTTTTTGTGTAATTTTTTAATTCAATTTTTTTTATTATAATTTAATTTAGGTACAATAACGAAGTAATTTGGTTTAATAATATAATTTTTTATAAAGATAATAATTATTTATTTTGTTGGAACTCGATAATTATTCTAATTATATTTTAGATTTTTTATATTTTAAAATGAGATGTTTATCCTCTATTTGATTATGTTTATCTGCAGTTAGTTACATAAATTCAAACATCGAGCTTTAATAAGTTATATTTATGCATAATTTATTTGTAATTTTGAATTTTAAGTAATATGCATCAATATACAATATTTCATGCATAAAAAATGATTTTTAAGAGTTTTTATCAAATGCTTTATAATATAGTATAGATATAAAGAATTTAAAATACAATTAGGATGATCATTGAATTCTAAAAATACTTAAATACTATTATTATATAAAAAAATTATATTATTAGACCTAAAACAATTTACGTTGTTATTAAAACTAAATTAAGCCAAAGGATTCGAAAACAATATCTGATCCCCATAAGTTCAAAACCATCGGATTTGATATAAACAGATAAATTTATATGTTTTATGGTCAAGAATGAAAATTAATAATCTTTTTTTGTACGTTGTAGTTATCTTGTATTTATTTTAAAAATCTTTTTAAATGTTTAATTTCTCAAATAATTTTTTTATTAAATTAAAATTGTAATTATCTATCCAAACCAAAGTGCAACCCAATCCAACTTAAATTATACGGATTACTCGAGTTGGTTGGATTGATACTTTAGTACAATAAAATATTATCTTAACCTTAAATATGTTATTTCTCCACTCATAATTTCTTTTTCATTATCAACCATTTGATACAACTTATTCATACCATTTGATACAACTTATTCATACTTTTTAAATTTTATGTATATCACATTCAATTAATTTTTCTAATTTATATATATATATATATATGAATGAGTTACATAGAGATGGAAAATAGATTGAAAATATGTATATATATGAAAAGGACATATAGTATTGTAATTATCTCTTATACATATTAATAAAAACTCAACAATCATATTAAATTCAATAAATAAAATGATGTCGGGTCATCGAATTGGCTTGAGTTCAAATAATAATAGCTCAATATCAACTCAATACATACAGTTTGAAAATTTTATAACTTAATTAGATATCAAGTTAAGTTATTTTACGTTGAATTAAGGGGATGTTTGGGATTACTTATTTAAAACAACTTATGTTTTTTTGTAAAAATGTTTATTAATTTATGTAGTATCAAATCGGAGTTAAATAAAACAAGGTTAAAATTGTAAACTGGTAATAAGCAGTTTTTCATAAGTCATGAAGAATTAACTTATCAAGAACAGCTTATTACCGGTTTGACACCGGTATAAGCAAATTTTTTTATCCAAATACTAGAAAACAACTTACCACCGATGCAAAACTGAAATAAATTAAAAAACAGTTTTTATAAGAATATGAATCACCCCTAGCTTGAAGGTTGGATTTTTATACGTTGCGTATGCGTTTCACCCACCAATAAAAGTATAAAACTTGATTTAGAATTACACCTGGCCTCCAACCTCCATTTTTTCAACCGCCGGTGATGATTGTTGCGCATCCAAATTGATTCAATCAAATCTGGTTTCATCAACTTTTCCGCATGGATCTTAGGTACATTTTGTTTCACTTGATCTGTTCTATCAACAAGACGTTAATTTCTTATTTTATTCCGTTCCGATTCCGTTTCTATTTTTCGTAAACTATTACTGCATTTTTCTTCGGTTTTGATTTGAACATACGATTTAATTATGGTTTTGTTTGACCAATATCGGGGTTTTCAAACGAAATGTGATGAGAAATGAACAAATTTTGAACGATCTATAATTTTTACGAGCACTACATTCTGGGGAAAAAATCTAGTTGTTTGATCTAGGTTATATTCACAATCCACTATGATTGTGGTTAATTGTAAGCGTGTTCCATCAAAAAAAAATATTGTGAAACCTAGAGCTTTGTTTTGTTTCTAGATTGAAATTCTGATTCTCTGTTAGTTTGTTAACTTGTTAGTGCTTTGGTATGAAGAATTAGAGACTCTCTATGAGTTGACAAATTTGGTTTCAATTTGGGGGCAGTGCCTTTATGGGTTGTACATTAAAAACCGTGATGCACGCCTTTGTAATTGTTGTTCATAGAAGTGTGATTAATCTGACAGATATTTTATTCCCAAATTGGTTTTCAGTTTTGGATGAATGAATCTTCTATTGATGCTTCTATGCATTGGTGGGTTGTGCATTACAGCTCTTGATGCATGCTTTTGTATGCTGCTGCTTTTTGGTACTTATAAGTATGAAGAATTAGATAGATTTGTTATTGGTTCCTAGATTTTGATTTGTCTTCATAGAAAATGCATTTTACATTGGTTGAATGCATAGGTGTGTACATTACAACTGACAATTCATATCGATATGATTGCTTCAGTAGGTGCTTATTTGATTTCTTCTTTTTGAATTTCAGTAACACTGAGAAGAAAGAGTCAAGCTCGAAGAACTTAGATGTCCTGCTTTCAGAAAGGGAAAGTTTCGAGCTTTCAGGTCCCTTACACCTGACTAGCATTGACTGGTAATGCTTTCTGGCTTCCTTTTCTTAACTCATAATGGCTCAAATTCTGCATGAAACGGTTATAGCATAGGCCAAAACACATCAAAATGCGACGCACATTGTCTTGATTCCTAACTAGTGTATCGATGAATTTTCTTCTCAATTAATATAACATTCAGTTCTTCATATTTTGTACCCATTTTACTAGGCAGTAGATTTTGTAATTGTTAATGATTTTGATGCCAAATTGTCAAGTTATACTGTAATTCTTGATTATGTGGAAATATGGCACTTCAAAATCAACCGATGCCACGGAGGCTGAAAAGGATTAATGAGTACGACATAGGAGGAATAAATGCTTGTTACTTGAGAGAAATTTCATCTTACATTAAATAAGAAATAAGACAAACTTCGTTACATTTTGCGCTTGTAGTATATGCATAACTATGTTTAAAAATTTCTACATTTGATGACCTGCACCCTCAAAACACCAGATTCTGGGTTTGGCTAAGTGTTGAATCACCTCTAAGGGAATGCATAAACAAAACTGACAATCATGACAATGCTGGAAGCAGTTGAAACCGGTTAAAACCCAGAATCTTGCTGATTTTAATAACTATATGAAACAACTATTTGAAAGTGTGTATGTATAGGATGTCTGTTTTGAAAAATAATATAAGAAAAGGAATTGTAAAAAAAAACCTTGAAATTTCTATTGGTCCATTGTTCGGTTGATAGACACATTGGAGGACCAAACCCAACCATTACTGAGTGGTCTTTGGTCTAATTTGTGGTTTCAACTTCTAACCAACTTTCGATTCCGGTTCTGTCATTGTTCAGTCTTGGAAGGAATGATGAAAGACCAAACTGGAACAGGGCTGAACCAACATCATTAGTCCTATTCCCGGTTCCAACCAATTTTTGGCGCTGGTACATTCTGGTTTTAGTGTTGGTTTTGTCCCGGTTCCGTCTTGGACATAACACTGTTTGGTATGTGGGACAAGACACAACAAAAATTTATTCCCATGTTTGATGCAACATTAGACTAGGAAAGGACATGACTGAGTGCATTTTTCTTGTCCTACCAAAATAGGTAGAACAAAAATCAGGGAGACAGGACAAGATTGGTAAATTACTAAACTGCCTATGTCAACCTAAGAGCTTAAAACTTTGCACAATTCTTTCACCCCTTCTACCTCACTCTAGTCCATCCAGTCTTGTTGAGTCCTATCTGCAAACCAAATGCACTCTGAAAGACAACGAAACTGGGACTAAGCTAACATCTTTGGTTTGATTCTTGGTTTTAACCAACTTTCAGTTCTGTGTTAGGTCTGGTTTGGTTCTGGACCAACGAACAGTCGTAAGAATCCCTTTTTCCAATAAGATTATAATGGAAGTACTCTAATGACAACAGGACTAATTTGGATCACCGGAGGTCAGTTGCAGCATGCTTGGTTCAAGGCGTATATATCATAGAGCGGGATCGCCAGGAAAATCGCCAACTGTCTGAAGCTCTTGCTCCTCCCTGGTGGAACTTCTTCCAGTTTGAGCTATACAGTCAACTCATTGATGATGCTGATTCATGTGTCTTTGGTGCTATCTACAAATTCAAACACGCACCTTCACAAGGAACACCGTCTTATATCATTGCTTTCCGGGGCACCTTAACCAAAGGCAACGCGTTTTCTCGAGACTTAGAACTCGACATCCACATTATCAAAAACGGGTTGCATCAAACATCAAGATTTGAGATCGCTATGCAAGCTATCAGAAACTTGGTTGCTGCAAATGGAAGTCAAACATCAAAGTCAACCATCTGGTTAACTGGCCATTCTCTAGGATCTGCTATGGCATTACTTGCAGGAAAGAGGATGGCGAAATCTGGGATCTTTCTTGATTCATATCTCTTCAATCCGCCGTTCTTTGCAGCCCCACTTGAGAACATCAAAGATCCAAATATCAAACATGGGATCCGAATCGCTAGCAGTTTTCTCACTGCAGGACTTGCTGTTGCTGCAAAGCTCAAGAATGCGAATCAGCAAAGAAACAACACGCCAGAAGATGCGTTTCTTGCATTGGCTGGATGGGTGCCATGTTTATATGTGAATCCAGCGGATTATATTTGCTCGGAGTATATCGGGTATTTTGAACACCGGAAAAAGATGGAGGAGATTGGAGCTGGTGGGATCGAACGGCTGGCAACACAGCATTCTATTTCGGGTGTTTTCTTGAATGCAATTGGGAAAGAATCTCATGAACCGCTGCATCTTCTTCCTTCGGCTAATTTGACCATCAATTTGACTCGTGCTGCTGATTTTAAAGAAGCTCATGGCATTCATCAATGGTGGAGATGCGATCAGCACTTGGAGACCCGAATCTACAGTTGAATATTGTCTAAAAACATGGTATTCTTTTAACCTCTTTTCCTTTGAGGTCAAGCCTGCTAGCCTTTGGAATTAGAAATGTGATTACGTCTGCTTAGAAAATCCAAATATATTTTTGTTCCCTTGATTGACCCAGTTTCAAGATTTGAACCCAGTTTCAATGAGCAAGATGTATAATTTGATTTGTTTTAAAATAATTTCTAATTATTATCAAACCAGTTAGGCTTTCTTATTCTTGAACTTCTATAGTTCTGCCGGTTAAGAGCGGTTAGCATGGTGCTCGGTCCGGTGACAATGGCTCAAAGGACCCGCTCTCGGCATTAATTGGCTACTTTGTTAATTTGTGAACTATTTACAGGTAGTTTTCGGTTTTTTTTGGTCTTGAATCGAGGTCGAGCTTGAATTACTCTAGTTAACTTTTGTACTTGAACTTGATCGAGCTTGAATCGGGTTCGAGGGAATGAAAATGGAAATCATTGATAATATCTGGTTTGATGTAATGGAACGAGTGAAGATTGAGAAAGTGAAATTCAGTAAATGTAGAACAGCAACATTGGATAATATAATATACATTAAATAAAGCTAAAAAACCGAAGTTTATTTATATAATCTTGATAGTCTGTCTCTCGACAGAGTTAATACTTAGTAAAATTGCTCTCATAATTTGGATGATGAAGTTAGTCATCCACACCTTTCAACGTGTACATACATATATACCTACATGAACCCCCAAGATCTCAAAGTGCCTTGTCTAGCTCGAAATCGAGGAGGTCCGTAACGGTTTTCAGGAAACCGGCTTCGCTCGTTCCAGGGAGCGTTGAACTGTGAGCTTTTTCAAGAATTTTCTCGATTGCGGATTCCTTGTGGAGTGTTTCTCGGCACAGGATGCGTCCTATGGCGTAAGCCGAGAGTCCTCTAGCCGCACCTTTCTTCAAAAGCATGGTGGAGATGCGTAGGGTGCGTGCACACTCGGGGGACAGGTTCCACCCGTTTGAGCTTAGGAGGGCTAGGTCTTGCTCGGCGTCTAGTGATTGGATGTAGTCGAGGGTTTCACGCGAGTATGGCTCACGGGCTTGTGGCCAATAGAGCCAATCGAATGTGCAATCTTCGAACTGAAAGGAGCACCAAGACAAGAGTTAGCATTTCAAGTACACGGTAGATTGACTTTTGTGCAAGTTCGAGATCGTTAGTGTATGCCCAAAAGTCAGTTATCGGATAATACTGGTAATGAACTTCGAGTCTTACGTTCTCGGGCAAGCAGTAACCATGGTCAATAGGGATGAGCACGATACGGTCACCTTCACGGTTCATCAAAATGTTCCCCGCATGCCTATCGGCATTAGCGGTTCTAATATCGAACACCGTGATCTTATGAACCTCCTCCACTGGAAAATCCCTAGGACCCATATCCTCGCAACTTCCACAGTTCTTCATAAACATCTGTAAAGATCCAACCTTGATGTTTTCCGGCCCACCATCATAATCCCCGAGATGATTAAATTCTCCGTTTAAACACTTCACCATGACCGTTGGAGGTACACCAGCAAAACCTGTCTCCATATCGCCGGAAGTCCGTGGTCCGCTCTTCGGGTGGTCCAGTAAGTAGGCTGCAACCTCCCGAAATGCACCTTCACCTACTTTCGTCCCCCTTTTTAATCCTTCACCATTCGATGATACCGGTAGCCCTTGAGGGTTATTAACCGCCATCGGTTCTTCATCTATCGGCTTGAAAACAGCAACGTATCTGTTTCCCGATGGATGTTGCATAAAGTAAGTTCCTCCGGTACCCTCTGATGATCTAATCGGTTTTTTCCCTTTCTGCAGCCCTTCAGATGTGGAATCTAGCATACTCCATATCGTCGGAGACAGTTTTGAACCCGGATTCACAATAATCGGCTGCAATGGAGAATCAATATCTGGGGGTTTCTTCGGATTCGATTTCCGATCATCTTTTTCGGGATTTCTTTCATCTAAACTGGAAGGAACTTCTCCAGATTTTTGAACAACCAAATGAATCACAGCATCATTTTTCTTCCAAACGTCATCGATCAACCTCTGATCATCAAGATCCTCACCATTACACAAGATTTTGTGATCATCAGCATTGATGAATCCAATTCCCTTAGCTTTTTCTGCTACCAGCTGTCTCAAATATCTCACATTTCTAAATCTATCCACCTCAAACTCGAATTGCTTCCCAATAGCACTCTTGACGGTGATCACAAGGAGATCAGAAACCCTAAGAATCAGATGAAGAACATCACCACTTGAAACACCATAGTCTTTAAGGAGAGAATTGTTTCTAGATAATTCTCTACCTCCAAAAACTAACTTCTGTTTCTTCACTACGAATCCTTTACATATCTGGATCTTAAGTTTGACGGCGGCAATGGAATCGGACTCCATAATTCTCATCGGAATCACAGAACCGGCAACCGTTAGGTAGATCACGATGGATTCACTGCTCCTGGAACAAACGGAGCCGGACCTCTTGTGAATTGGCCTCAAAGCAACGCCAGCGACTGACATTGTAAGAGCTTCACACACTTTTACCTTTGTTCTATCTCTTCCTCTCTTTTTTTTTTTTGAAAGTTATATTAATCAATCAAACATAAATCTACACAATCGAAATGGAGCTCAATAATTTTCAGATCTCCAAGCGATTGATTCGAAATACACAAATATATACAGCAAAGAAGACAAATGAAAAAACAAAAAAGAAAAAAAGATTCCGGTAAACAATGATTGTTAATTTCTATATTCAGAAACACAAAAGAGCAAAACCCTAATGCCCTTTCGACAAAAAAAAGACCCCAAATAACCTCAAATCAAAGGGCTCTTTTCCAATAACTCGAAGTTTGAGCTTTGAATCTTGAAAGAAAGTATGAACAATACAGATTCAAAGTGAAGAAGAAAGAAAAAAATGGAGGAAAAGCAGAGAGGATTCGGGAGACAATGGGGAATAAGTGAAAATTGGGGGTGTTTCTGAAGGAGGAAACCTTTATCCAATTATATGGATTCTTACCTGATTTGGAAAGAATCAAAAGCCAAATTGAAGAAATCGTTCAACTTATATTGATGAAAGAGGATGAATTGACGATTAGTGTTTCAGATTTTGTAAAATGGTTACTGAAAATAGAAATGTGTGTGTCTGAGTTGGGTCCGATCTTGTCGTCGGTCTTATGATTCCGGTGAGGGTAGAGAAAAGGGGAAGGGATACCACGGAATTGTAGCCGTTAAATTCGGCTTTTGTCTTCACCTCAAATACTAATTGTATATTTTTCATTTCTATTTAAAACAAAATAGAAAAAGTAAAAAGATAAAGAGTGAATTACACCATGGGTCTGTATAGAAATGGAAAAAAAAAGCCCTTCTTCAATCAGATCTTTCACCGCCCTCTGTTTGTTGATAAGATGATGAAGTTTCTTTGAGAAGATCGTAGTTTTAAAGTGCTTATATTCCCATCGATTCCTTTTAGATTGCCATTAGAAACATGTGGTTCCTATTTTTAGAAAGGAGATGCAAGAGAGAATAAGAAAAGGAGATGCGAGAGAGAAGAAAATTGGAACCTGTAATGGTGTTGGCTACCACCTGCTAGGATTAAATCGTGAATGGTGCATGTGTGTGGCTGCAGGGAACGCGATGGCTAAGCTTCGGTGAAGACCAGATCGTGAATGGTGTAGGTGGTGGCTGTAGGTGCAGGAAACATGGTGGCTAAGCTTCGGTGAAGGCCAGATCGGGGTGGGCAGAAGGAGAAAGAGTTCCTTGGAATGAGAATGAAAATTGGAAGAATATTGTGTGTGGGTCGCAGTCGGAGTCTGGAGATGCGGATGGGTCACTCGTGTGTGTGTGTGTGTGTATTATATAATAGAAAAAAGACAAAAACATGGTAAAATGACCAAGTATCCTTAGTTAACGGAATATATTTAACGGTGTTAGATACAGGGACCATCTTGTAATGAAATGCAAATCTCAGATATACCGGGTGTAATTGTTTTGAACGGACCATATCCAAATTATGAATAAACTACAGGGACCTATGGTGCAATTTACTCAAAGATAAAGGACCCTTCAATTAACGCACTTTTATTTGGAAAATCAATTAAGGTGACGAAAAATATAAAAGAGGGCCAAAATAAAAATAATAGTTACTTCAAATAGAAACGATACTTGATAATAAGTGATAAGGATAGAGACAATTTTTTTTATGTTTTTTAATGTTTTTTTACTAATAACACAAGGGGTGGGCTAAATGCACCCCTAGGTATTGTTTAATGCACATCTATCCATAAATTTCTTTCTCACACATATCAACATCAATACATGCTTTTTACATTCTCAATGCTTGAATGACCTGATTCTGACATGAAAGAGGGTGCCATTAGCACTCCCCTAACACAAATAGATGGAGGTAATTTTATTTTGACTTGACGTGATATGAATAAAGATAATTTCGTGGTTCAATGGGTAATTTTGAAGTTGATATGTCTGATTAAAACTTTGTAATAAGTTAATGATGCACATAATTTTTTTCATAAATATATTAACTAATCCATCCTATAAATTTCATTTATTCGTTTTATGTAAGTTAGATACTTATAAAAAGATTATAATAAAATCTAAATGACTGTTTGATCCTTAGTTGGGATTAAAGATGGATATTCAGTCAAATTTCAGTTCCAACCATTATCGGGCCTAAACCAGGCACTACGAGGTTTAGTCATTCCTTCAAGTCTCTATAATAAATGATAAAAGTAAATTACATGATTGGTCCATATGGTTTATGTGTTTTAATATTCTGGGTCCATATTTTGAAATATCTATGGATTACATCCCTATGGTTTTTGATTTATATTAAATTGGGTCTCTCCCTCTAATTCCATCCAAATTATCCTGTCAACTCAGTTAGCTTGGAGGGGTATTTTAGACATTTATCTTTTTGTTATTTTTTTTTATTAAAACCACGGGGACCGAGAATGTAATTTACTCTATTCTTTATCGATATTTGGTCTCACCTCTTTCTCTCTCGCCAATTAAATTAATTGACCTCTCATTGGTTGTTCCTATATCACATCATCTTCCCAGCTCTGGCCTCACTCCGGGGAACTCCACCACCATTGAAATCCATATCCAATAACCATAACCACTTGAATCAAAGAAAAACACACGTAACAAACTATGATCTTGGGTGTCATATAGAAACATGATGGAAACCACTTGAGTTCCACCAAAAACATCAAGAAATCGAAAATTGTTAAAAACAATATATATATATTAGATATACACACCTTATATCAATGGACATTGAGAAAAAGGGAACAAATATGTGTAAACTCATTCAATTGCTTTGTTATACAAAATTCAAATAATCAATAACCCTAAATCCATTTCAAATAAAAATCCCTAAACCGAATTCAATAAAAAAAATCCTAAATATAGATATTTGAAGGTTAATACCATAATCCATAGTGTATGGATCTTCAAACGGGGAGGTTGGTGTTGTAACATCATCCTCATCGAAGTGTAAACTGGAAATCGGGAGGGGGAGGAGTCAGGACAGTTCTAGGGGAGGCCAGTGATGGAGTCATGGAGTAAAGGGAGTCATTGGATTTGTAGGAGTATTTTAGATCTGGATCTAAAGAGGAGATGGCAATGTGAAGGATGATGGTGGTGTTCTCCAAGGCGTGTATTCACCGGAGATATCATGTTGGTCATAGTTTGCTAGAGAAAATGAAATGATGGTGGTCGGTCTTGGGAGCGTGGAAGGGGTGGTTTCTTCTGACTGAGGTGGTTTTCTGACGTGAGGGACACGGAAGGCAAGGGTCTACCACGAAGATGAAGTGAGAGGCATGGGTTTGGGAAGATGAAGTCAGGGGCATGCTGTAACACCCTCGAATTTCTCCCCTCCCTCAGTCTCCTTTCCTTTTTTATATATTTGTATGTATATGTATTTAAGTGTATTAAATTATGGGGATTTAGTATTTTTTTTATTTTGTTTGATCATTCAAAAGAGTAGAGATCTTCTTGATGATTTACCTAGTGGTAACTTTAGAACTAGGGGTAAAAGTAGGACTAGGGGGGGCTAGAGTATAGAGATCTTGTCTTTTACCACTCTTAAAACCTGA